GCCCCACCCCCCCCAGGGATGGCCCTGCCCGTTGCGGGGGGTGGGGGGGCGGCCGAGGGATAGGGCTGGTCACTGGGGCTGGTGCTGCCACGTATGCAGCACACAGCTGCCTAGGGCACCATGAAATTCGGGGCAATTTGGTGCCGCAAATTTCATGGTGCCCTACATAGCTGCGTATGCCTAAGGACGGCCCTGAGTCCTCCACTGAACACTCTTGCAGATATCTGTTTTTCTGGTCTCCCCTTTTTGTACTCTAGCTACCATATATATGCAGACAAGAGTTGAATTCTTAGGATTATGCTGTAATATTTCTCCTGCGTCTTCTGTATAGTTTTATTTCTGAAAAGTAGTAAATTATTTTTAAGTTTTATGGGCAAACCTAGCCCACTTAATTCTCCCAGTAGTCTCCCCTCTGCATGTGTTTTCAGTGTCACTGTCCAAAACAAGGGAGCCTTGTACTATTATTGATTCTATTATAAGTAAGCATACATTTCTGTCACAGATTCCGGGACCTCCATGACTTCTTCTGGGGCAGAACTGGAGCAGATGTCAGCCCCAGGGTGGCAGCCAGCCCCAGGGCAGCAGCCCCCAGAATGGCAGCCAGCCTAGGGGCATGCCAGAACAGTGGCTGGTGTTGGGTCAGCGGGCTGGAGCAGCAGTAATCAGCCCCTGCCGCAGGAGCAGCAGTGGGGCTGGAGCAGCTGCAAGCCCCAGAAGTGCTCTGTTTGTCCCCCCACAGGATATTTTAGTAAAAGTCAGGGGTGGGTTGCGGGCTTCTGTGAATTTTTGTTTATTGCCTGTGACCTATCACTGACTTTTAATAAAAATACCTGTGACAGAATCTTAACCTTAACAATAAATAAGTAGATATGGATAAAACATTTGAAAAAGTCTATGAAAACTAATAAACAAAGAAACATAGGCATGTTTGGCTGCAAGAGAGAAAAGTTAAAAATTATAAAAAATAGTATGTAAAAACAATCCCCTTTTACTCAGCAGACAAGAACTGAGTTCAGGATTCCACATTTCTCCTGGATCAGCGAATGACATCAAATCTCTAAAAATGTTCAGGAAAATGATCCCCACTGGTCTTTGCAAGGATACGAATCCCCAAATTTGTGAATCTAAATTTTTTTTTAGCAATAAACATATCCAAAAATCTTGAATAAAGTAACCCATATTTATGTTATTTGTGTGCCTCAGGAAGATTGCGTACATAGCATTTTTAAACTGTGAAACACAGACTTGCAATCCTGTTAAGCTATGCCAAGTACAGAAAAAATGAGTATTTAGGGCTTCTGGTCCCACTGGATCTTACTGCAAGTTTGTAAATGGGAGCTATACTACAATACAGTCCTTATGTCTATTGCCTCTTGTGTGCCAACTTCTTCACCGGTAGTGTTTCCCAGGGCTAGCATACCCAGTTATCAATCTGTGGTGCCTTTGACTGCTTCTGAAAAGTTTAAGTAGTACATCTTGCCTCAACTTTTAATTGGGAGCCCCAGTAGAAATACCTTCAGGCTCAGTACAGAGCCTCCTTTGTAATACTGCTTATTTGTTGAGCTGTTTCAAAAACTGTTTGATTTTTCGTCAGTTGCACCAAATTTGCATAAATGAGCATCCTTAGAATCTTTTCCTACAAAAGTCTGTTCCCAAAGCCTAAATTCTTTTCAGTCTCTCAGGAGTTAAATACAATAACTGCAGAACTCTGCACAAAAATCGAAATCAATATGGAAGAGTGCACAGCTATAGCTCAACTCGGACCCATTGCTCTTACGAGATTTAATCTCCTACATTAGCGTTCCAAGTGTCCATACGTTTCTCTACATGTGGTCTATGGCGAATGTATGAATCTGTGGAGTTGAAAAAACTCAGTGCCTTAGAATGACTAGAGCTTGTGGTAGAAGTTCCTAATGAGTTCAACTCTCTTTTCATTTTCCACATATATTTTTTGTCCTTAAGAGAAGTATTGACAAAACGCTAGCTCAGGGTCTTTAAAGCTGTCTTAACTTCTTCTCAGGTAGGATCTTTCTTATTTCCCCTATTAGCTGTCCTCTTGCATTTACATCCTTATTTATTAAGCTACCAAACATCCCTTTCTCTCTCAGGCTACGTCTACACTACCCGCCTAAATCGGCGGGTAGAAATCGATCTCTCGGGGATCGAATTATCGCGTCTCGTCGGGATGCGACAATCGATCCCCAAATTGACGCTTGTACTCCACCAGCGCAGGTAGGAGTAAGCGCCGTCGACGGGGGAGCTGTGGAGGTCAATTTGCCGCCGTCCTCACAGCGGGGTAAGTCGGCTCGGATACGTCAAATTCAGTTACACTTTTCGCGTAGCTGAATTTGTGCATCTTAAATCGACCCCCCCCCCGTAGTGAGGACGTAGCCTCAGGTAATGTTCCACTCTTTCACTAACAAGGGTACATACGATGACAGAATGTAGCTGTGAAAGAGGAAAGGGCCCCTTTGCAACACTTACATGGATATCAGGGCCATTGTTTTGCACAAGTCTGAATCCTTTGGTCTGAGCCCAATGCTGCCCTCCATTTCTACCTAAACAAGCATGGGGTCCACAGGTCATCCTGCATGACTACTTTGTGACCAGACCATAGGTGCAGAGGACTTTGTTTGGGCCCAGCCCACTATAGTGAATTTCTTCCTTAGGGTTCATAAGTAGGTCCCTACCAAATTCATGGGCCATTTTGGTAAATTTCACAATCATAGGATTTTAAAAACCTGAAATTTCACGGTGTTGTAACCATGGGGGTCCTGACCCAAAAGGGGGTTGTGTGGGGTGGTTGCATGGATACTGTCGAGGGGATGTAGTATTGCCACCCTTACTTCTGTGCTGCTGCTGGTGGCAGCACTGCCTTCAGAGCTGGACCCCCAGACAGCAGCTGTGGAGCTTCCTGCAGCCAGGGGAGGTTCCTGGAGGTGGGTCTGACCTGGCCCCGGGAGTGGATCATGCAGGGAAAGAGGAAGTTCCATCTCTCCCCAGCTCAGCCATCACCCACCCGTAAGGCTGGCCCTGCCCCCCGCATACCATGCCACCCTCACTTCTGTTCTGCTGCTGGCGGTGGCGCTGCCTTCAGAACTGGGTGCCCGTTAGCAGCCACCACTCTACATTCTCCAGCCACCCAGCTCAGAAGGCAGCAAAGAAGTAAGGGTTGCAATACTGTGAGCCCCCTACAACAGCCAGATTTCACAGGGGAGAGCAGATTTTATGGTCAAGAGCAGATTTCATGATCCATGACGTGTTTTTCACAACCATGAATTTGGTAGGGCCCTATTCATAAGGATCATGAATCTCCAAGATTCATATAGGTGACAAGAACCCAAAAATCAGTTATCAGAAAAAGAGGCAATCTGAAATGATATTATGGTATGTTTTCTAGGTATAACAGTTTCCTATAACTTCAGATTTAATTAATGTGAATAAATGTTTAGGTGACAGTACAGATGTGTGTGTGATAAAGCTGACTAAAACATCCACGTGTGGCGGTCATATCTATGCAATAAATTGCAGAACTATGTATTGTTCATCATGCACTTTTAACTGCCTGACCAGCTCTTTGCTCACTAATCGATCTCTGTAGGATTTATTCTAATATTTCAAATCCCTGAGCAGATTCAAAAAACTTTCCCAGAAATGTTTTCTTCTCTCCCTCCTACCAACATGAGGAATTTCCCCTTAAAATTATCTTAGCCTGAGGCCCAAAACGACAATCCCTGACAAGTGATGGGGTTTCTCTATATAAAAATGTAATTAATTCAAAGTCTATCTCGTAGGACTGCAGAGCTAAAAATGGGGGCTTCATACCACTGCAAAATAGAAAGATAACCTCTTTCCTAAGGCACCCCAGGACTCCGTTCTAGCCCCATAAGATCCTAAGATAGGAGACTTAATAATGTAAATTATTTAAGTAATGAAAAGCTATTCTGGGTTATGTTAGTGGTTTTCATGGCTTTTTATGAGCCTTGTACAGTTGGATAAGTGGTAATTAAGACATCTGGCTTTGCAGGTGGAAGGACAAGAAAAATAGTCCAATTTTTAGTAAAAAAAACAAACGTCCTGAACCATTCCACACATTGGTTTTCTGTAACAGGAAATGTAAGCAGAATGTACGATAGGTGGTATGAAGGCTTTCTAAGCATGTATTTGGTACCTGCTTAAGTCACTCATGGCTTTGCCATTCATGAATAATGTGATGTGACCATTCACACACGCACAGTGACATTCACTTTTGTGTGTGATCAGTCCAAAATGTCTTTTTTATAGCATCTATGGAAAAACCCCTGTATTTCCATTTTATGGCACTGTGCTAAATTTCTCTTGGGCCACTTACACATTATAGTGATCACCTTTGTTTATAAAATCCTCTTATCCCTGCTAGATTTTTGAAAAGTTGATTTTCTGTTGCATCTGTAAATCAAGGTGGTTATGCTGAACTGTAAATCTGAATTTGTCCCAGTACTGTTGACCAGAGAACCAGTTCCGAGTTTTAGGATTGTGAGGAAGTGTCTACAAGTCATTGCAAAAATCTCCCCAATTAAAAACAATTCACAGAAGCATTTTACAAACCTGTTCTTATAGCTATTTTTTTCTCTTTCTCAGGGCACTTGACAATGACTCTTTAAAATGTGTTGTTTATCCAAAATTTAACATTCAAAGAGTGTTCAGTTAAACTATTTTATAAACAGGTCACAAATTTATTTTTAGGAAAACTGTGAGACCTGCATGTGCTATATAAACCCTAAAACAAAAGAAAAAAGCTACCGTATTAGTGAAGATTTTACAGAGCAAAGATTAATATTCACAATACTAAGACCAAAGGAGCTAAAAAATGTAAGTGAAGTTTGCAAAATAATATTTATGCATTACTCAATATGTACTTGTATAAATATAAAAGGGTTTACAACACTTTAAGAAAAACTCTTCTTTTAGAACGTTGACAACTCCAACACTTAAGCAAAGTTGTTATTCCAAGTACTTACCCCCACTACCACTCCCTTCTCTGCGGCTACGTGCACTGCCATCTCTGCCAGATTTAACACGCTAGAACAACAGTGAAATAAATTTGAAGGAATAAACACAAAAACCCTATTTAGCATAATTATATTAGATAGAACTGCTGAAGCTCAAAATTCAGTTTACTGCTATAAACAGTAGAGAACACTAAATTGGACTTAAATTACAGTAATATTGTATTGTGCAACTAAAATCTTATTTCTTCAGTACAAAAAGTTGCATTTAAAATCAGAGTTAAATACAATGTTTACACAGAACTAATGAAGTTCAAATAAAAAAATTCAATAAAATCTGTTCTTTCAGATAACATTTATATAAGAATAAAAATACCTTACATGAAGTTTTGATTAGTACAGCTGAAAAAATTCTCAAGGTATTCCCCTCTACATGACTTCAAAGTAGTATTTGCCTACTAACATCTTGTAAATCCAAGAAGTGTTTTGTTATTGTAAAGATTCAAGTGGGGAGGAAGAAAATTTAGAAAGAGAAATATTTACCCCACACGTCTTAAATTTCTAATATTTGGCACAGCACTGTATGTCAGGAAAAAAGTTAATTTAATTTGTTGTTGAGTGCTAAATCTAACATGAAGGCAATGGTAAATATTATAAAAAACTATGTTTAAAAAGTCAAGTTTCTTGGAATGAGGAAAGGACCACAAACACCTTCCAGCTGTGTTATTTTTAGGATTATTTAAAAATGTTACTGTTATTTTGTCCAAGCAATACCTCTATATTGCACGATTGACTGGGCCTCTGATTTCGCTTCCTTAGCTCTCGTCCCCTAACGCCCCTACTCTACTTGCGCTACATTGATGACATCTTCATCATCTGGACTCATGGAAAAGAAGCCCTTGAGGAATTCCACCATGATTTCAATAATTTCCATCCTACCATCAACCTCAGCCTAGATCAATCCACACAAGCGGTCCATTTCCTGGACACTACTGTGCTAATAAGCGATGGTCACATAAATACCACCCTGTACCGGAAACCTACTGACCGCTACACTTACCTACATGCCTCCAGCTTCCATCCAGGACACACCACACGATCCATTGTCTACAGCCAAGCTCTAAGATATAACCGCATTTGCTCCAATCCCTCAGATAGAGACAAGCACCTACACGATCTCTATCAAGCATTCTTAAAACTACAATACCCACCTGCTGAAGTGAAAAAACAGATTGACAGAGCCAGACGAGTACCCAGAAGTCACCTCCTACAAGACAGGGCCAACAAAGAAAATAACAGAACACCACTAGCTGTCACCTTCAGCCCCCAACTAAAACCTCTCCAGCGCATCATTAGAGATCTACAACCTATCCTGAAAGATGATCCTTTACTCTCACAGATCTTGGGAGACAGACCTGTCCTTGCTTACAGACAACCCCCCAACCTAAAGCAAATACTCACCAGCAACCACACAGCACTGAACAAAAACACTGACCCAGGAACCTATCCTTGTAACAAAGCCCGATGCCAACTCTGTCCACATATCTATTCAAGTGACACCATCATAGGGCCTAATCACATCAGCCATACCATCAGGGGCTCGTTCACCTGCACATCTACCAATGTGATATATGCCATCATGTGCCAACAATGCCCCTCTGCCATGTACATTGGCCAAACCGGACAGTCTCTACGCAAAAGAATTAATGGACACAAATCTGACATCAGGAATCATAATACTCAAAAACCAGTGGGAGAACACTTTAACCTGTCTGGCCATTCTATGACAGACCTGCGGGTGGCTATCTTAAAACAGAAAAACTTCAAAAACAGACTCCAATGAGAGACTGCTGAGCTGGAATTGATATGCAAACTAGACACAATCAACTCAGGGCTAAATAGGGATTGGGAATGGCTGAGCCATTACAAACATTGAATCTATCTCCCCTTGTAAGTATTCTCACACTTGCTTCTTATCAAACTGTCTGTACTTGGCCACCTTGATTATCACTTCAAAAGTTTTTTTTCTCTTACTTAATTGGCCTCTCAGAGTTGGTAAGACAACTCCCACCTGTTCATGCTCTCTGTATGTGTGTATATATATCTCCTCAATATATGTTTCACTCAATATGCATCCGAAGAAGTGGGTTGTAGCCCACGAAAGCTTATGCTCTAATAAATTTGTTAGTCTCTAAGGTGCCACAAGTACTCCTGTTCTTTTTGTTTAAAAAAGATGTGTGGACTATATAGGCCTTTGGTTGAAAATCTAGATCATGTGACATAAAATGACTTTCCTAAGCAGTTTATTTTAATATTAGTTGAAATCGTTTAGCTGAGTGGAGATTCAGTAATAACAAGTTAGCTGAGGTTCTTTAAAGCCTTAACATTTTAGGACCTCATCCTGGAAACATGATGTACATATTAACTTGAAAGCATGAAGCATAATCTAGTTAAGTTCCAGTGAAGGGAGTAATCCCTTTGAACTCAGTGTGACTACACACATGAAGTTAAGCATCTGCATGACTGTTTGCAGGATTGAGGCCTTTGCCATCATCTACGCTATAAATACAACAGTGTCTGGTGGATTATTTATTACCTCCATCACAACCAATCTTCTCAAAGTACCCTAAAGATGTATGTAAATTCACATGCAAAGGGTCTAGTTTTACTTTGTGCATGGTTTTTATTATTTCATTTTAATTTATCTTGACCTCCAGTTAATGGTTGCATCATGTATAACTGAAAACAAAAAGGCACTTAAAAAATTCTGGAGACTGAGCAGCTGCAAAATGATCCTAACAGTCTCTAAACGGTATGTACTGTATAACATACAAAGTGCGGGCACATGCATTCCAACTTCATACCCACAGCACTGTGTAAAGCTCTTGAGTATTTCAAACATAAGGGCAAATTTAAAAGGAAAAACTGAAAATGAAGGTAGTGGGTCTAATGTGGAACAAGTAGGTTTTATGTGTTGGCGTTTCATTTGTGAAAACGCAAGATCAAATTCTCTAATGGGTCACAAGTGGAAATGAGTTTGCTTTACATCCTATTCCCACGTGGATGACAGAATCATTTTTGGCACAACTGGCAGCCTCTGGTCAAGAGAGGCCCAGGACTGGAAGAGCAGAAATGTGTTGCACATTAGAACTGAGATGCACTGAGGAAAATCATATGGTGTCTGTACATATTATCCCTGGTTCACATCACAGCTTATCAGGTGCTCATTTTCAGTCATTAAATTCACGTAGAGAAATAAATATACAATGCTACTACCTGTATTTGAACCAATGCCAATAAGATTTTGTGAATTTGTGTACCAGTATCAGTGTGTGCACGCATCTCTTTTAAATGAAATACCAGGGAAATGTTAATGCACTAAGGAATATTCAGGTGAATATTCACCTACCCCACAGATGTTTCCAGATCTCTGGCTGGACACCTTTAAGCACTTGTCTACACTTGGAAATTTACAGAAATAGTTATTCTAGAATAGTTATTTTGATATAAGCCCCTGTGTGGACACTCTTATTACAGAATAAGAGTGGTCACAAAGGAGTTTTCCAGAATAGCTATTTTGGTAAATTTCCAAATGTAGACAAGACCTTAGTAAGACTCATTGAAAAGCAGGGCATATTCCACAAATATTTAATTATCTATTTACTGCCTCACCACTTGGCACAGTAGTAAAGAGATCATGGCTTGGCCTGAAATATTGAGGAAGGGAAACTGAGTTTAAATTGCTGATGAAAACAGAGAGCAATAACTGACCTGTGCCTTTCTTTGCGGACTGAAATCAGTATTTGGCAGGGAAACATAAGGGGTAAATTTTATAATTTCTGAGCTACAGAACTCAACCTCTAACAACTGGAGAGGCACAAAGTGAATCATAGTATGAGACTCTTATTTTGCATTGCAATGCTGGTGTTATGAAAGAATAGGTAGGAATGATGCATTGTTGTGATTAACATAACATTCCAGTCATCTGCAAATTAGCCTCTCCAAATTATGGTTAATTTACCATAGCAGTAGAAAATGATTGTATTAGAGTTTGTGCTTCTATATACCTGTCTCGTGATTAAATGGAGAAGGGTAGTATTCAGCAGCTAGTCCCTGGACTTTCAGTGATTAATGTATCAAGTCAAAATGAAATATTACATTTTTAACATCACTGAGATATTACTATAATCTTAAACAACGAAGTTAAACAATTTAATTGTTTAAATATTTTCACTAGTAGTTTAATGCACAGAAGTAGTAAGTGTTCAAAAGTGCCCAGAAAACTCAGGTTCACATCAAGTAAAGATGTTAAAAACAAACAAAAACACCTAACCAAACAAAAACAGTATTTGTATAAAAAGTGTGAATATTTTTTTAAAAAAGGAAAAAGGTGCTTTTCTTACATTTCTTAATATTTGCAGGCCTATGCTGCATAATTAAGAACTCAGGAAAAAGTAGTGCTGATATTGTATACAAGTGAGTAATTACCTCTCCAACCCCAGGGACCTCCGCCCTCCAATTAAAAATTAATCCAGTTTTTATACAAGTTTAGTTTCTGACCTTTCCTGAGTAGAGTTTACCAGTTATTTTATGTTGTGGCAAAGTGACTGTGTTTGTAATGTGGACCATTACCCACTAAAGATAAAGCAGAACCAATTTAACTCATTTCAGTGAGACCCTCTTGGAGTTGTAATCTGAAAAGGTAATGTTTTATCTGCTTAGCTGTTTCGTTACTTATGTCATAGTGGGGTGGCAGCACCACCAAAGTTAAGGCTGAGCCTTGCTTACTGTTTAGCAGTCAATTTTTCTAAATGCACTAAGTCCCACATGCTTCGGGAAATTGTCTTCAAAACTGTTATGTTGCAACAGGGGTTGCGGTAGAGTTTGTGGTGCAAATATGGGGTCATTTGATTGAGGAGTTCCCAATAACTAGGGCCCTACCAAGTTCACGGCCAAGAAAAACGCATCACAGACAGTGAAATCTGGTCTTTCACCCTATACTATACAGATTTCATGGGGAGACCAGCGTTTCTCAAATTGGGGATCCTGACCCAAACGGGAATTGCAGGGGGGTCACAAGATTATTTTAGGGTGAGTTGCGGTATTGCCACCCTTACTTCTGCACTGCCTTCAGAGCTGGGTGGCTGGAGAGCGGCAGCTGTTGGCCAGGCGCTCAGCTCTGAAGGCAGCGCCGCGCCTGCAGCAGTGCAGAAGTAAGGGTGGCAATACCATACCATGCCACCCTTACTTCTGTGCTGCTGCTGGCGGTGGCTCTGCCTTCAGAGCTGGGCTTCCAGCCAGCAGGCGCAGCTCTCCAGCTGCTCACTCTGAAGGCAGCTCCTCCACCAGCAGCAGCACAGAAGAAAGGGTAGGAGTACTGCAACACCCCCTACAATACCCTCGTAACCCTCCAAAATTCCTTTTTGGGTCAGTACCCTTACAATAACGATACTTTGACATTTCAGATTTAAATAGCTGTAATCACGAAATTTACGATTTTTAAAATCCTATGACCATTAAATTTACTAAAATTGACTGTGAATTTGGTAGGGCTCTACCAATAACCATTCCCCACATTATGAGCTTCTTTACATTTTCAATATGCAGTGAAATATATGTAGCTAGTGAGATTATCTTTAATACTGGTATGACACGAGGGGCCAGGAAATATTTCTTGGGGTAAATTTGGAGTCATTTATCAAGATGTTTCTCAGATACAGCCCTCTCCCCCAGTAAGGAGCTGATTTTAGTATTCAAATTGCTCTAAAGTCCATGTGCATAATAAGATTGTCTTGAAACCTGGTATTGCATGACTGGGCTTGAGTTAGATTTTGAGGTAGAAGGGGGAGGGGAGGAGAATACATATTGAAATGAATGGGTCAGATCACACCACTTAAGAGCTGTTGTCAGGCTGTATTCATCTCCATGAGGTGTTTGGATTCACCTGAAAACATCCCCTTGAGATGAATGAGTCACTTCACATCTTTGCAATCCTCCTATGCTGCAGAGGGTTGTGCAGAACCCCTTCTCCCTATGCTAGTCCCAAAAGTGGAGTACAGATTTTGGTAGGGTTACCATATTTCAGCACTGAAAAAAGAGGACGGGAGGAGCCCCGCCCCCGTCCTGCCCTAGCCCCGCCCCTTCCACTCCCCGCCCCCCTCAGAACCCCAACCCTCCCCCTGCTCCTTGTTCCCTGACTGCCCCCTCCTGGGACCCCTGCCCCTAACTGCCCTCCAGGACTCCACCCCCTATCTAAGCCTCCCTGCCTCTTGTCCCCTGACTGCCCCAACCCTTATCCACACCCCCACCCCCAGACAGACCCCTGGGACTCCCAAGCCCCATCCAACCACTCCCCACCCATCTAAACCCCTCTGCTCCCTGTCCCCTGACTGCTCCGATCCCTCTCCCCACTCCTGCTCCCTGACAGCTCCCCCCCCACACCCCCCCCCCCCCCCCCCCCCACCCGCTCCTTGTCCCCTGACTGCCTCCTCCTGGGACCCCTGCTCCTAACTGCCCTCCAGAACCCCACCCCCTACCTAAGCCTCCCTGTTCCTTATCCCCTAACTGCCCCTTCCTAAGACCCCCCCCAACTGCCCCCCAGGACCCTACCCCCTACTTGTACCCTGACTGCCCAAAACTTTCTCCACTCCCCCCAAGAAGCCCCCCCCCGAACTCCCGACCCCCCCTGTTTCTTGACTGCCCCCTCCAGAACCTCCCTGCCCCTTCTCCTGCCCCCCTTACCCTGCTGCTCAGAACAGGGTGTTGGGCTCTGTGCGAGCCAGACACGTGGCTGCGCTCCCCAGCACAACACACAACCCGGTCCCTGGTCCTACACAGTGCTGCTGGAGCGGGGCGCGGGGCTGCCGGGGAGGAGGAGCTGCCGGCTCAGAATGCAGGGAGGGAGGGAGGAGCTCCTCTACAGCTGCTCCAGAGTCCAACCCGTGACTTTCCTGCAGCCCTCCCAGCCGCTCACTCTGCTCTGCCGGGGGAGGGGGGAAATCCCGGACATTTTGAGTGATTTACAAATTCCCCCCGGACGCTATTTTTAGCACAAAAAGGAGGACATGTCCGGGTAAATCCGGACGAATGGTAACCCTAGATTTTGGGGCTCCCTCTCACCCTTGCTACCACCATCTGGTAGATGTGCTCTTCACAGGCTTTTGTTTATTACCTTCCTACCTGCCCTTGATCCTACTGGGGGGCACGATGGAGGGCAGAGCTGGTAGCTAAGTGACAGTGAGGTAGTCCCAGTAAGCTGTCTTGTGCCCCCCGTCACGCCCCCTTCACTACTACCGCTTCCTCAAAGCCAAGGGAAATTCACTGCCCAAAAACTTCATTAAGGCAGAATGTTTACGTTGACTAGATGTGCCTTGTACCCTTACAGAATGCACCTATATTTAAACCTCTGAAAACCAAAGAATCCAAGAGTTATGGCAAAACCAACTTAAACGTCTGTAAACCAGGAAGTGAAGGTACACTCTAGCTAGGCTAAAGTATTATAGCAAATATTATTTTACTGTTCATTGTGCTAGGCAGTGAAGATACGTAATGAAAATGAAAAAATAATCCACTTTTCATAGGAGAAAACAAACATACCTGTTCCCTTATTTCTTTTAGTTTTTCCACTCTCTTGAGCTTTGTCACATATTCTTGAACTTCTTTCAGCCCCATATCTGTGCAGAGACGAACTAAGAACCGTAGACCTAATTGTACATTAAAAATATATTTAGAAAAGGGCTTGAAAACAGGTGAAAAAATAGCAGTGTGTTTAACCTAGTAAAACTGAATTTATAGAGTAGCAGCATGGTCTTCTGGACATAGCAAAGGACTGGGGATCAGGGGTTCCTGCTTTCTAATACCAGCAACTCAGATTGGAATCTTATGCAAGCAATTTTAACTTTTCTGTGATTGACTGTAGAATGGTTAATAATACCCAAGGGGTGTTGTGAAATTTAGTTACTTAGTGTTTGTGAAATGCTTTGAAAATAAAAAGCATTATACATATGCTAAACTGCTATCGCAAAACCATTCCCCAATAGCATTTTATTGAAAATAAGTCATCAATGCCAAATGAGCTGAAAAGAATGGACACTAGCATAGTTACATTTTCTAATTACTCCAGTGTTGAGTCAGCACTTCAGACGCATGGTGGGTGGTCTTTTAGCTCCTGCGTTAATATCAATCTCTATAGAGTTCAAAAATTGGTATGAAGGCTAAATGTGACTATGGTTGTCTATGCTATGGAGACTATGGCTATGTCTACACCACAGACCTTACAGCACCACACCTGTACTGCTGCAGCTGCGCTGCTGTAAGGTCTCCTGTGTAGCCACTTTATGCCGATGGAGATAACTCTCCCGTCGGCATAATTAAACCACCCCCAACGAGCAGCGGCAGCTATGTCTGCGGGAGAGCATCTCCTGCCGACATACCATCTCTTTTGTCGGTGAAACTTATGTCAGTCAAGGGTGTGCTTTTTCACACCCCTGACTGACAAAAGTTTTACCGACAAAAGTGCTAGTGTAGAGATAGCTATGCTGGTATAGGCTATGCCGGCATAGCCCTGTAGTGCAGACGCAGCCTACACTGACAGAAGGGGTTTTTCTGTTGCTGTAGGAACATCACTTCCCTCAACAAAGCCCTCTTTTATTTTGACATAGCTGTGTCTACACTGGGGGTTTTGTCAGAATAGCTATGCCAGTCAGGGGTGTGGTTTTTTCACACCCCTGACGGATGTAACTATGTTGATATAACTTTTCAGTGTAGACCAGGCTTATATGATAAAATAGGAAGGGCTTAGGGGAAGAGAGAACTCCTTTGAGCCACAGTCCTCAATTTGGAAAAGAGCTGCCGCTGTCTCTGTGCACAGCAGCATGGAATGACACCTATCTAAATACGACGCTAAACTATCAATAACCAGTAAACAGAAGAAAACCTCAACAACTAGTTAAAAGGTGATTTAACAACAGCTGATGAAGCACAGGGAGATGAGAGAGCTTCTGACTCATTGCCTTTAGAAATTAATAGAATAGTGGAATGAAGAACAGTGACTACTTTCCTAGTAGTTCTGTACTGCATCCTCAGTCTCATGGATTTGTGCCGGCAATGTTCAAAGAATGTTAGAATTACTGAAAGATTTTCAAAATAGTCCACTCCTTTGATTCACACACTACAAATATTAACATGCCTTATATTTTTTTTACTGTGACAGACCCAGACCAGTGGGGTACAGGAGTCTGGTAGAGGGCAACTATACTGGTCACTGGATGAGTAGTTTTCTGTTCCCTGAGTGACCAGAGCAGGAGCTGTACTAGAGTAATCAGGAACATGCTAGAACCAGTTAAGGCAGGCAGGCTAATCAGGACACCTGGAGCCAATTAAGAAGAAGCTTCTAGAATCAATTAAGGCAGGCTAATCAGGGCACCTGGGTTTTAAAAAGGAGATCACTTCAGTTTGTGGTGTGAGTGTGAGGAGCTGGGAGCAAGAGGCGCAAGGAGCTGAGAGTGAGAGGGTGTGCTGCTGGAGGACTGAGGAGCACAAGCGTTATCAGACACCAGGAGGAAGGTCCTGTGGTGAGAATAAGGAAGGTGTTTGGAGGAGGCCATGGGGAAGTAGCCCAGGGAGTTGTAGCTGTCATGCAGCTGTT